TGATGTATTAAATCTAAAAAATAAAAAATATTATTTTAATATATTTTAGTATAAAAAACATTTGAAAAAGTAATTGTAACTACACTAGTTTAGTTTAGTCTCAATTGATATAAACTAATTTAAAAGTACTATTTATCATTTAATAAAAAAATATAAGTTAAAAGTTAATTTTTATACTATTTTTATTTATTTATCATTCCTATGAGGACGAAGAGGTAATTTTTTGTGTTTTTTACACACTAATTTGAAGTTTTTTTTTTAAGAAATAAGAAAATAAAAAAAATTCAGTACAATCACACTCCCAATCTTTTGAACTTTTAGGATAACAATAATACTGTTATTTTCTCAGAATAATTTATTATTATTGGTTGTGTTTGTATATTAAAAAAAAAATATCGCATCATGGTATAAATTGATTTGAAAAATAAAAAAAATTACATTTCTCATCTAGAAAAAACTAAAAATCTTAAAATTGATATTGATTCTATATATTTAAAGTATGAGCTGGTTGTATTTAAAGAAAGGTTTTATTGCTTGTGTTTTTCTAAATCTATTCATATGCAATAATATTCTAAGTCTGTTCATGATTTATGTTAGTCTATAAAATTAAAAAACTCGTTAATTTTAAGAAATTTCTGGCATTAATTACTAAAAATTTTGACGTTAATCTCTTAAAAAAAATTATCAAAAAATAATATTAGTATTTCAAAAAATTTATCAAGAAACGACGTTGTGTTCGAAAAATAAAAGATTTGTTGATTTTAAGAAACTTTTTACATTAATTCCTAAAAATAGTTTCTTTTGATCTCATGAAGAAATTCCATATCAATATCTTAAAGAAAAGGACTATAACACCGATCCCTTCTAATGATAACAGTTATGCACAAAAAATTGAAAATCAGCACTAATAATCAATCCATTATCTCAAGGATTCATCAATATATTCAAAAATCAATTTGGGTTTGAAATCAACCTTCCAGGGAGGCTGTAAAGAGGGCCGAAAGTTGCTGGAACTTCGAGGAAGCAGTTGCGTTGCGTCAGCTCCTGTTTGAGCTTCTTTCCTGCATCCAGATGGGAATAGGTTTGCTACTATGTATTGAGTGTGAAATGACGTACCTTTGGTCCAAATTTGGTGATATTTAGATATCGTTTGGACTGGTTTTGGAGTTGGCAAAAAAAGAGATACTGATGCTGTCACCAGGAACATTCACTATCAAGGCTTCTGTGTTGATGCTAGTTCAACGGTTTCGTGATTTTATTTTTAGCAGAAATCTGACTGAGATGACTGTGGGTGTGTTTGAGAGATTCTTGTAGAATCTGGTAGTCTTTAGAGTAGGTTTGGGCAAATTTAGGAATTGGAAAACCAAAGGTGTGCTGCTGTCTCCCTGGGGACGTCTGCTGCCGGAGCTTCTGTTTTAACATCTGTTCAAGCCTGTTGTTAACGAATTTTGGGATGGAATTTGTTTGGGATGTTGGAATAGATGTGAAGAAACCGTGGGAAAATCTTGGATTTTTTTAGAATAGTGGAAAGTCGTGATTCATGGGAGTGAAGAGCTGTTGCACAGATGCTGTCCTGGAGAAGCTCATTGCAGCAGCTACTGTGTCTTCAGGTCTGTTCAAGGTTCATATGAAGGAGGTTTTTTGTGAAATTTTTCTGAGGTTATCTCAATTATCTCAAGTATATCAGGAAGTTTAGGTAAAAAGTTGGGCAATGTTGTCTGTTGCCTTTTCCTTTCTCCCCCCGCCAACCATGGCTGCTCGAGTTTCTCCCTTTAACTTTGTCGTGTCATGGTTTCCTACTCATCCCACTCCCAATGCCTTCCTACTCACCCCCCAACATCGTGCCTTCCTTCTTTTTTTCTTTTTACACTTCAGTCCTTGTTTCTTCTTCTTTCATCCACTTTGCTCACTATATTTTTGTGTTCTTTTCTTTCTTTTAAGAAAAATCCTTAGAAAAAGTGGATCAAAATATATTTGTTTTTCATGAAATCTTGAGGTTTGTACTTTCTTGTTGTGGTGATGAACATGAAGGTCATAATGACGATGAAGCTTCACACGGGCTGTTCTCAGGTTCAGGGTCAAGTAAATCATCAAATGTTGGAACACGATATGTTTGGTCTTGGGAGAGGGTATTTGGGAGGCTTTCAATTCCAGTGCCTTCAAGGCCTGGAATTGCTATCTATACCTACAGTATCATCATCTAAACCATCTCCCTTTCCTCTTCATCTTCAACGGCTTCGTCAAAACCATCCCCTCAAGCTTCGGCACTAACTCTGTGTCTGCTTTGTGTTTTACTTCACATGTTAACACACGAGGAGAAACAAGAGGCAAAATGAAGGTTTTTTTTCTGAGATGTTGAATGAAGAGTTTCTAACTTCTCTTATTATTCCCCTGTTGTGATTGAATAATAAGTTGCAATTTCCTTCCTGCTTGAGGTTAAAACAAACGTACGATTTGATTGTATCAGAAATGTAGTGAGCTTAAATTAGAGAGTACTAATCTGGAGCTGGAAAATGCAGCAGTTAATAAGAAGTCAGGCAGGAACCCTTGCTTCAAAGAGGGTTAAGAGCAAGAAGGATGATAAAACCTTTGTAGCTGTTGAGATTGACTCATCTCGTAAGAAGAGGCCATTTCTTCTGTTCGAAAAACCGAGCCATATCAGGTTTTAGCCTCCTGAAACATCGAGCCATAATGCGGTAGACAATCAAAGTACTGGTTCGTGAACTTCTTTGTGAAACTCGGTCGATTTGCATATATATATATATATATATATATATATATCATATTTTTACTTTCACACCAGGGTATTATCTATCGCTGTAGAGCACTCGCTTAGTGGTTGAATTTGGTGGAGATTTTCTTCTGCAGCGTCATCCCACCCGTGCATACGATATCAGCTACCCGTATAACGCAGTTTGTATTAAACAGGCTCACCAAGCAATCGAAGCAGCTTCATATAAAATTTAAAATAATAATTATGAATTTAAAATTTAATGCGTTAATTTAAATAAAATAGATCGTGTATCGTGCACGCATATAAAGGTTAGTTTTTTTTATATTTGTTGTGAAGATGGAAAACAAACACAAATTAAAATATTTAATCAATTTTACTTGATCAATTTGATGAGTTTATAAACAACTAAAATAGATGATACCAATGAGTTTAATAGTTTTTTTTTATTATATTTTTTTTTAATTATATGATAATAAAATAAATGTTTGCATAAAAGCAACTCAATAATATTTTTTTTTAAATCATGGTTGGTTACACTAAAAGAACACTTAGTAATGTTTTTAAAAGACATTTATAATATTATTTAAAAATAAAGTAAAAATTAAATAGTATTTAATCAAATAATATCTAAAATATATCCTTAACTAATTAATTTAAGAATTTAACAAAAATAATATATATATATATATATATGAAAAACTAAATTGAAATTCAAGCAAAAACATTATTTAAAAAACACTTAAAAACATTTAGGCGCGTATTTAAGTGCCTACCATATTTGGGTTATCTTAAACACGCCTAGCAAACCACAATTGTGTGCCTAATTTTTTATTTTCTTTAATTTTTTTCTAACATGTGATAGATTTTTTGTTGTAATAGTTGACTTATCACTGAATTAACTAGTTTTCAATAAATTTTTATAAATAAAAAATTAGAATCTAAGTTTTTATATCTTAAAATTCTATTTTTGACTTGTTTTTATTTGAAAAGTACCTCAAAGTATCATAAGAACATCAATAAACTCATTCTCAACCCTCCAACATTTTAAAATCACTTTAAAAAGTGAAGATCAAGAAAGAAAATAAAACTATTTTTATATTTTTTCAGCATATTTACATAAAAAATACTATCATGGTTTGATCTTCAATTGAGAAAACAAATTTATTAATATCATGAATTTTTTTTTGTTAACCAAACATTTTATTTTCATTGTTTTCAAGTAATCTTCTCTCAAACTCAAAACTGATATGTAAATAAAGATATTTAAAAAAAAAAAGAGGTAATTTTTTTTTGTTAAAAAGGAGGTTGGTGAAACAACAAAAAAGAAAGTTGCATAATTGTTTTTTTAATTTTTTTATTAAATTTGATCTTCCAAAGTTTTTTTTTATCAATAAAATATCAATTTACCTTATCAAATCAAACACTAATTTAATGGTACAATATCTTTCCCACATCTTAAAAAACTTACAGAAATCCATTTAAAATAAATTAATTATGAGTTTAAAATCTCATTTCATTTCATTTCATTTATAAGGATGTAATTAAAAAAAATAAAGCCTAAAGAAATTAAATATCTAAAAAAAACAAAGGAGACTTGCCAAATCTTTGGAGTTTTTGTTAATGTTTTGTCCTGCGCTTCAAGAACTCCGGAAGTTCAGAGTCATGTTGTCTACTTTCGTCGGTAGCTTCCAACTGCTTAACGAAGGAAAATCTGCTGGTCACTTTACTCGTATTTTCTTGGTAGAAGCCTCACTAGCGACTGAGCCAGAAGCAATGGTGGCTCTGACTAACTTCGCTGATGAGAAGACAGTAGTGATAGTTGCTGGTGCACCAAGAGACTGTTCAGGCTGCGCCAGTCTGATATTGTGAGGAAGAACGGACTGCAGATATCCTACTTTGAAAGAATTCACGAGAGCAAGCCACACAGCAGTTTAGATCTGTTGTAAATCAGATGCTACTTGCAGCTTTGCACCGTTCTCCTATATCCAAGCTGCTCTTTCATTACAACAGTAAGCTACTATTGTAACAACTTAAACTCTTATATGCTTGGAATTTTGCAGGTCAATTGATGTCATATGTCGCCCTCAAGGGCATGATTCTGCGTTGTCATTGAAAGGACCAAATGTTAATAAAATAAAGAGCAGATTAAATAGAAGGATGAAATTGAAGCAAATAAAAGAAAAAGGACCAAATAGAGACAAAGTTAGGAATAGATGGAAATATACACCATTAACCCAATTTTAATAATCAGACAAAAAGCTACTCTGTCAGTTTCCTGCTCCAATCCTAGGTTTCTTTGGTAATGGATATCTTAACACTAGAGTCCTCGTCTTGGCCAGCGGGGCTTTGCTTTTAAATGAATAATTCTTCCCTTTCTCTCAAGTGCCAGCCTAAGCTTCTGCCACTTCAAATGGGATCACGCTACGTGCGTCATCTTGCTGACATGGTGACTGTACAGATACAGTAAAAGGATGTTGAAAATATATGATAAAAAAGAAACACGATAAAGGAGAAGAGAAAATAAATTTCCATACCGAAAGAGGTGTTGAAGAACAGGACATGAATCATTACCGCATTGTTAAGTTTTCCTGCTTTTTTCAACTTAAAACATCAGAAGCAGCTCCATTACAACTATGAAAAAAGGCACTCAAGCAGCTCCAGTGTTGAGTTCAAGATCCTTAGGTAAGCGACTCCTTTCTTCTTTCATTGCTTTTCTTTTTATTATTTTTGGCTCACTGGCAAAGTTTTCTTGATCCTTTTCATTTGCTTGTCATCTATGTTCAATCCATTGTAGTGATCATCTTTACTAGAAGAGATAAATTTGTGTTTGATCAATCTTTTATTGTGTGATCTATTAATTAAAGATCCCAGTTCTCCAATTTTCTGGTGGAATCACTCCCGCAATACTGCAGGAACATAAGTCTTAGAGAAGGTAATCCTTGACCTAAACTTTTGTTGTTATTTTCTTGGGAACCGAACAATAAGTTGATGTATTTGTTACATTTGGGTGTGTTTTTGTTGCAGAAGGTCAATCAACATGTCTGGGTGGCTTGAATTCCTTAAGTTTGTACTTTGTTGTGTAGGAGAACGTGAAGAAGATCCTAATGTTGTATTAGGTTCAAGGTCAAGAAATAATTCATCAGATGTTGGATCAAGTTGCTTTAGGTCTGTGGAAAGAATCAATGATAGATTTCAGATTTTCAATAATCGCCCAGCTGCACCCATATATTCCGATGTACCAGCAACAGTTCTTTCTAGACCGTCTCCATTTCAACCAGTACCTTCAACAACTGCATCGAAACCATCACCTCAAGCGAAAACATTGTCATTCAAATCATCTCCATTACCACCTCCACCTCCACCTTCAACTTCTTCATCAAAACCATCCCATCAAGATCCTATTCCTGCTTGCCATCCATCTCCATCTTCATCTCCTAAACCACTCTCATCATTTCTTAGACCGCCAACTTCATGTTCTAATCAATCTCATCTTCACGTGTACGGGCAACAGTTCTTTCTAGACCCTCTCCTTTTCCATCAGTACCTTCCAACAACTTCATCGAAACCATCACCTCAAGCTACAACATTGTCATTCAAATCATCTCCATTTCCACCTCCACCTTCAACTTCTTCATCAAAATCATCCCATCAAGATCCTAATCCTGCGTTCCATCCATCTCCATCTCCTAAACCACTCCCATCATTTCTTAAACCCCCAGCATCATCTTCTAAACTCTCTCCATCTTCATCTAAAGCATCCCCATCTTCACCAGGACCATCTTCATCATCCTCTAAGCAGCCTCCATCCTTCAAACCAACTCTATCTCTGGCTTCCCCAAATTTAATTAATGAGCAGACAAAAGTCAGCTACTCGTTGGATCAAAAGGTTATGTCACCTATTTACGCGGTTCCCAAGGATATTGAGGACTTGATCAAGAGAGACATAGTGCCTGAAGTTCTCAATGAACTGTTGTCTCCTTCAACATACAAGGATTATTTTGCTGCCCTTCTGTATGCCGAGGACTTCTACATTGAGGTAATGAAAAGATGCATCCCTTCTGATGTACACATTAGAAGGATGTAAGCACGATCTACACTTAAAAAGCTTGTTATGGAAACTTTTTGCCACTACATTGCGAATGATGATCATTGAGAGTGACATTTTGTTTGAAGTAATCTACAAATTAACTGAAATACGAGGGAAGGCTGAACAAACTTTTTTCATAGCTATAATTACCAGAGCTAGCGTATTAGTGGTTGGACAGATTAAATTTAATGAGTCACATTAGGGTTAAAAGAGGCAAAATGAAGGGCTTCCTAAGGTGCTGTATGAAGAGTTTTTAAGTTCTTGCTTGTTTCATTCTGTATATAGAGTATAATGTTCTTGTTTGTGCACTGAGATTTGGATCCATGTATGCCTTGTTTGAATCAGAAATGGAGTAAATTTAAATTGGAGAAAATTACTCTCAAGTTGAAAGATGCAGCAATCATTAAGAAGCATGGCAGGAATGAATACTTCAGTGACAGTCATGAAAAGGATAATAAAACCTTTGTAGAATTTGAGATTGACTCATGTCGTGAGAGGAGGCCATTTCTTTTGTCCAGAGACTTTGCCTTTGCGCGACCTTCAGGTCAAAAAACCGAGCCATATCAGGTTAGCCTCCTCAACTTTCAAGCATCATGTGCTGCGTAATGTCATTTTACTATGTGGATGAAGCGGATGTGGACTTCGTGCAGCTTGAACTTCATTTAGTGTATTGTCATCTTAACAACATTGTTAATGTTTTCAAATGCACACCAGGGTGTTATCTATCGCGTGGTGAGGAGTACTGTTGTACTGGTTGAATTTGGCGAAGATTTTCATTTGCAGCATCATTCAACCCGTAAATATGATGTTAGCTTCTCATTTAACAGAGTTTGTTTGAAAAGGGCTCACCAAGCGATAGAAGCCGCTTCCGATCCTTCATTTAAAAATTTCCTTTTCCCAGATTTTGTCCACAGAAAGAGTATCCCAACCTCTACACCTCTCCATTTTATCAATCATAAACTTGATGCGTATCAAAGATCTGCTGTTCTCGAGATTTTGAGCTTTCGAGGACCACCACCTTATCTTGTTGAAGGTCCGCTTTGTTCGAAAGAGTATTCAAAACAGCTATCAAGGACTGGATTGGTGGTCCAGGAAGCAGTACTCCAAATTTATCGAAGTTCATCAAAGCATCGGATTCTTATATGTGCACCCATTAACAGAACATGTGATGTTCTGATGCAAAGCTTAAAAATTGATATTCCTGTTGAAATAAAACTCAATCTAGAAGGTCAAGGAAGGCAACCACCAGCTGTCACCGCCCAACTGTCCAGCCGCCGCCGCCAGCCGCCAGCCACCGGCCGCCAGCCGCTTTCACACCGTCGGCCACAACCGCCTTCACACTTGAAGGTTGAATTTTCTTGTTTTGATTTCGTGTATAAATAGATAGCTAAACTTATGCAATTATATGTGGAGAGATTGAGAGAAACACTAGAGAGAAAGAGAGAAAGAGAGAGGGGTTGTTGTAAACTTTTGTTTATGTTATTGTAAGCTTTGTTCTTGAAATAAAAGAGTGTGTTTTATCCCCTCTGAGTGTTTCAAAGCCACCACAAGTGGTTTCTCCCACCAACAATTGGTATCAGAGCCCCGTTCGTCAGAAAACAGAGGTATTTTTGGGAAATATCCGAATTTTCAAAGTTGTCAAAAACAAGTTTTGATCATTCCAAAGTGTAGAGCTCATCAATACGAACTCAACGGTGCAACAATCAGATCAATCGGAGCACGGGGTGGACCACACTCTCCGTCTGAAATTTCAGCACTGTAGCCCACGCGCCCCGAGGAAGAAGACGAGTGAGCCACACGCGCGCCATATTTGATCCGCGCCGAGCCAAGTCTCAAGCCGAGTCGCGAGCCGAGCCACAAGCCATATTTCGAAGCCGAGCCGAGCTCCAAGCCATATTCCGAAGCCAAGCCAAGCTCCGAGCCATATTCTAAAGTCAAAGTCAAAAACGAATATTCCTTGGAATATTCCCGGTTCAACCCAGCAAACCACCCGAAGTGGTTTTTGGACCGGTTCACCTCATTTTTGACCCGTTTTCTACAAAGTCAGACCGGTTCCCTACTATTTGGACCATTCCGGATCCATCTACGGTGTCGGTTTTGCCAAATTCAACTCCTAAAAAGGTGATATAGTCATTTAAAGAGCAAAATGACTACAGAAAGTGCACAAACACTCATCCCGAAGCTAACCAAAGACAACTATGATAGTTGGTGCATCAGATTGAAGGCATTCCTTGGTTCACAAGAGTGTATAGACATTGTGCAATATGGTTATGATGAACCAGAGTCGAAAGAATCAGAAGATGCTTTACCAGAGGTACAAAAGCAAGTCCTCAAAGCCAATAGAAAAAAAGACAACAAAGCAAAGACCATCATTTATCAAGGTCTTGATGAAGCGACATTTGAAATCATTGCTTCCGCAGAAACATCAAAAGAAATATGGGAGGCTCTCCAACAAAAATACAAAGGTGCTGACAGAATAAAGAAGATTTGTCTCCAATCTTTACGAGGTGAATTTGAATTGTTACAAATGAAGTCCTCAGAATCCATTTCTGATTATCACACAAGAATTATGGTGATAGTCAATCAGATGAGAAGAAACGGAGAAGCGCTTTCAGATGCTCGAATTACTGAGAAAATTTTGAGATCCCTAGATCCAAAATTTGATTTTGTTATTGTCGCTATTGAAGAGTCCAAAGAGGTGGACAAGTTAACAGTGGATGAACTTATGAGTTCTTTGCAAGCTCATGAGCAGAAGATTGTAAAAAGAAATGGAGATAAGGCAATTGAGCATGCCTTACAAGCAAAGTTGTCTCTCAAAGACAGATATGAGCAAGGGGAGACTTCAACAAGTGGATACACCACTCGAGGAAGAAGTCAACAAACACGAGGAGGATTTCAACGATTTCAAGGCAGAGGTTCTTGGAATACAGGTTTTAGAGGAAGAGGTGGTAGAAACACCACCAGAGGAGGTCGAGGACAACAAGCATTCACTCCTAGAGGAAGAGGAGGCGGCTACAATAACCGTGACAAGAGGAATATTCAGTGTTATAATTGCAATCAATTTGGCCACTATAGCACTGAATGTCAAAAGAAAGCTCCACTTGAGATACATGAGCGAGTCAACTATGCAGAAGAGGATGTCAACAATAGAGGAGCAGCTGCATTATTTGTCCAACAAGGACTTGACAAGAATCAAGAGAATATTTGGTATCTTGATTCTGGAGCCAGCAATCACATGTGTGGCCAACGAGATTTATTTGGTGATCTAGATGAGACCATACAAGGTTTTGTCACCTTTGGAGATACGTCAAAAGTTCCATTCAAAGGTAAAGACAACATCCCAATCAAGTTGAAGAATGGCGATCATAGCTACATCGCCGATGTCTACTATGTCCCAGCCATAAAGCAGAACTTGGTGAGCATAGGTCAACTTTTGGAGAGAGGCTATACACTTTACATGAAGAATTGTCATCTGACAATTACAGACTACAATGGGAGATTAATTGCCTATGTGAAAATGTCCAAGAATAGGATGTTTCCTTTAAACATCCAATATGATGCAGCAAAGTGTTTGAGTGCCATCACCAACAGTGAAGAATGGCTTTGGCACCTGAGGCTTGGACATCTGAATTTCACAAGTCTGAAGATGCTAGCAAGCAAAAAGATGGTCAAAGGTATGCCCCACATTGATCATCCAGAAGAAGTCTGTGAGAGTTGTGTCCTCAGCAAACATCACAGATCCAGTTTTGCCAAAGAAGTCAACTGGAAAGCAAACAAGCCACTTGAGTTAGTACACACAGATGTGTGTGGTCCTATAAAGCCTATGTCGACTGGACAAAATAGGTACTTCCTCACTTTTATTGATGATTTTAGCAGAAAGACATGGGTATATTTTTTGAAGAGGAAGTCAGAAGTGTTCAATTGTTTTAAAGATTTTAAAGCAATTGTTGAGAAGCAAAGTGGCTATAAGATCAGAACCGTGAGATCTGATCAAGGTGGAGAATATACAGCAAATGACTTTGAAGCCTTTTGTACACAACAAGGCATCAGACATCAGACAACACCAGCTTATACACCACAGCTGAATGGTGTAGCTGAGAGGAAGAATCGAACAATTCTTGATATGGCAAGAAGTCTACTCAAAGCAAAGAAGCTGCCTAAGCAATACTGGGCTGAAGCTGTATTATGTGCAGTATATTTGATGAACCGCTGCCAAACCAGAAGTTTGCAAGCTATCACTCCACAAGAAGCATGGAGTGGTCACAAACCAAGTGTTACTCATCTTCGAGTCTTTGGTTGTGTGGCATATGCAAAGATCCCAGATGCAAGAAGGACCAAACTCGATGATAAAAGTGAGAAATGCATCTTTGTCGGATATGGTGAGAGAAGAATGGGATACAAGTTGTATAATCCCATCACCAAAAAGGTAATTATGAGCAGAGATGTTATCTTTGAAGAAGATAAAACTTGGCAATGGAATGATGACCAAGAAGCAGTTAAATGGATCAGCACTGATTTGATCCTTGAAGATGAAGAAGTACCAACAGTACTTGCAGAAGGTCCAATAGTACCAGAAGATGAGCCACAAAGTCCGGTACACAGATTTCCTGTATTCAACAGGAGAAACACGCCAGAATCATCATCAATACCATCAGCATCAGCATCCTCATCAGAAGGACCAAGAAGGATGAGAAATCTAGAAGAGCTGTATGACGCCACTCAAGTAATGGAAGATACAACTCTATTTTGTTTCTTTGCAGATAGTGACCCACTTAGCTTCAATGAAGCTATCACAGAAGAGAAGTGGATAAAAGCAATGGATGAAGAAATACATGCCATTGAGAAGAATGATACCTGGAAGCTGACTTATCTACCAGAAAACAAGAAAGCAATAGGTGTCAAATGGGTCTATAAGACAAAGAAGAATGCAAAAGGAGAAGTGCAAAGATACAAAGCAAGATTAGTGGTGAAAGGCTACAAACAGAGAGAAGGCATTGACTATGGAGAAGTGTTTGCTCCAGTAGCCCGGCTAGAGACAATCAGATTGATGATCTCACTAGCAGCACAACATAGATGGAAGATCTATCAACTTGATGTGAAGTCAGCATTTCTGAATGGCTTCCTAGAAGAAGAGATCTATGTTGAACAACCACTTGGATACATTGATGATGAAAATGAAGGCAAAGTATACAAGTTGAAGAAAGCCCTCTACGGTTTGAAGCAAGCTCCGCGTGCTTGGAATACCAGAATTGACAGGTATTTTCAAGATAATGGATTTGAAAAATGTCCATATGAACATGCAATTTATGTGAAGAAAGAAGCAGATGGCAGCATATTATTTGTGTGCCTATATGTTGATGACTTGATATTCACCGGCAACAATCCTACCATGTTCGAAGACTTCAAGAAAAGCATGGTACAAGAGTTTGAGATGACAGACATTGGTCTGATGGCACATTTTCTTGGCTTAGAAGTGGTGCAGAAAGAAGAAGGGATTTTTGTATCCCAAAGCAGTTATGCCAAAGATATTCTTGAAAGGTTCAAGATGGAAAGCTGCAATCTGGTATCAACTCCAGTCGAGAATGGAGTGGAATTGAGGAAAAGTAAAGTTGGAAATGTTGATCCAACTTACTTTAAAAGCTTGGTAGGAAGCTTAAGGTACTTGACATGTACCAGACCAGATATACTCTACGGAGTCGGACTGATCAGCAGATATATGGAGAAGCCAGACCAGTCTCATTTGAATGCAGCCAAGAGAATTCTTCGCTACATCAAAGGCACAATAAATGAAGGTATGTTTTATACCTCAAGTACAAATTTCAATTTTACTGGCTACTCGGATAGTGATTGGGGTAGAGATCTGGATGAAAGAAAAAGTACAACAGGGTTTGTATTTTTCGTGGGAGATACATCTTTCACATGGTCATCCAAGAAGCAATCAATTGTCACATTATCAAGCTGTGAAGCTGAGTATGTTGCCGCCAACTCAGCTGTATGCCATTTAATATGGTTAAGGAATTTGCTAAAGTTTTTGGGATTTCCTCAAGAAAATCCTACAGAGATTTATATCGATAATCGATCAGCGATTGCATTGGCAAAGAATCCGGTGTATCATGAAAGAAGTAAACATATTGATACACGTCATCACTTTATCCGAGAGCATGTAAAGAACAAAGAAGTCGAGCTGATATCCTGCAAGACAGATGATCAAGTTGCAGATATTTTTACCAAGCCATTGAAAAGAGAAGTGTTTATCAGACTGAAATTCATGCTTGGAATGACATCTCTCGATTGAGTTTAAGGGGGAGATTTGTTGAAATAAAACTCAATCTAGAAGGTCAAGGAAGGCAACCACCAGCTGTCACCGCCCAACTGTCCAGCCGCCGCCGCCAGCCGCCAGCCACCGGCCGCCAGCCGCTTTCACACCGTCGGCCACAACCGCCTTCACACTTGAAGGTTGAATTTTCTTGTTTTGATTTCGTGTATAAATAGATAGCTAAACTTATGCAATTATATGTGGAGAGATTGAGAGAAACACTAGAGAGAAAGAGAGAAAGAGAGAGGGGTTGTTGTAAACTTTTGTTTATGTTATTGTAAGCTTTGTTCTTGAAATAAAAGAGTGTGTTTTATCCCCTCTGAGTGTTTCAAAGCCACCACAAGTGGTTTCTCCCACCAACAATTCCAGAGTCGGACATGTTTCGAGCAAATGCTGCTTTCCGGGAGATAGATGGGGTGCCTACTGACATCCTAACATCGTGCGTGTACAAAAGGGATTGCTTTACTTGTCCATCTATTCGGGAACTCAGGAAATTTAGAGTGATCTTGTCTACTTTTGTTAGTAGCTTTCGGCTGCATAATGAAGGGATAGTTGCTGGCCATTTTAGTCATATTTTTTTGGTGAATGCTTCATCAGCTACCGAGCCAGAAGCAATGGTGGCTTTGGCTAATTTGGCTAGTGAGAATACAGCAGTGATAGTAACTGGTGCTCCAGGAAACCATTCAGGCTGGGTTCGTTCCGATATTGCAAGGGAGAATGGGCTAATGACATCCTACTTCGAAAGACTTCGTGATAGCAAGCCATACTGGAATTCACATCCTGAGTTTATCAGGCAGCTGGTTGATCCCGAGAGTAAATCAGTTGATTCTTATAGCTATGCCCATGAATCATTATCGTATGACTAAGCTGTTTTTCCATAACTGCATCATCATAATACCCTTGAGTCATTGGATTTCTTGCAAGCTTTCTGGTTCTCTGTATATGTGTTAAATGCAGGAAGAATTATGCTGCAAGTTTAAAATTGAAACAATGTTGGGTTTTGGTTCTGCATTTTGAATGTTCTGTGGGTTATTGATCGGTCTTCATCTGCCTCACTGTTGGATTTTAATAGAATGAAAATGCAAAAGAGAACAAATATCGATTTCTTGTTTAACTTCACTGTTTTATTGATCATACAGGCTTAATGAAAAACATTGAAAAGTAAGGCTTTAAAGGCAAGGAACAGCAACATTATCTCCTGCTGTTACGTAACAGAATTCAAAGGATAATGACTAAACAAAAGGATTATATCAATCCTAACAGAAATTGACAAATTCAAATAGCTAGTGTTTTATTAAAGCTAAAACTCATATCAGCTTCCACATCAGCTGTTTCTTCATCAGCAGCTTCTTCATCAACAGCTTCCGAGACATGAATTCAACACTCACTGACAATATAAGGTTAAACCTTTCTCGGACATCTTGCTGCTGAGCTACAATGTTGCTTAGGCATATAATGTGGAACAAAACTCGAGTAGATTTTGCTCCAAGAAAAACACAATAGCTACTGTTTTTTCTTATCATTTTTATCATGCATAATTGTGAATGTTGAAGTTGATTTTATATAGCCTTACAACTCCTACTAATTTAAGACACCTATCTTTATTTAACTAAAAGATTGAAAGGTTGATTGTATTTGTGTTTCAAAAGTTTTTTTTTTTAAGTTTAATATTTTTTTATTTTAATTTTTTTATATTTTTAGATTGTTTTGATATGTTGATATCAAAAATAATTTTTAAAAAAAAACTATTTTGATGTGTTTCTGAAAAAAAATTGAAAAGTAATCGCTACTAAGGTTAATAAAATAATAAATTAACTTGTAAAATCATATAATTTAATTATAAGTTAATATGTATTTTTTATATAAAATCATTTTAAAAACTTAAAAATAATTAAAATCAAGTTAAAATTAAATCAAATCAAGTAAAATCACATAAAAATATGAAAACATGATTTTAAGAACCTTTTTATGATTTTAACAAAAATCATACACTTCACGCTCCAACCCTAGCTACATCAACATGACCTTGGCTATACCTTAAAAACTATAGATATAGCATGACGTGACCAAGTAAAGCTGTTTTGAAGTAAAGTTGTAAAGTATAGCATGACGTGGACAAGTAAAATTGTCATAATCATTCATATCAATGGGTATTTGGTCATTGGCATCTTTTTCATTTGTGTTTCTAGATTTTTTTAAAAGAAAATTTAACATTAAAAAATATTTTAATATAATTTTAATATATTAATATAAAAAAAATATTTAAATATATTTTAAAATAAAAATTATTTAAAAAAGCATCACTCATTATGATTTTAAACATACTGATTTGTATTATTTTTATACTATAACAATTAATCAATCAAATTATTTCATCAATTAATTTAAATGATGTTTTTGTGCTCAATTATACATATAAATAATAGTTTTTTATTTTAAAATTTTATTTTTAATATCAGCATATTAAAATAACCTAAAGTCATGAAAAAGTAATTTGAAGAAAAAAATAAAATAATCTATAGTTTTTTAAAAAATATTTTTAAAATAAAAAATTAAATATATTGAATCATAAAAACCATAAAATTTACAGTTGTGACTGTAAAAAACTTATCAATATTAACAATTAAGAATGGTTAGGGCAGGGTAAACAAAAAAAATACAAAAAAAAAATAGTTTTGAAAAAAATTAAAGAATAAGCAACAAATAGACCTGGTTTTAGATTGAAGATAAACTATATTTTAGCCAAAAACAATGGTTTTATTGAGCATTATAAAAATTAAGTTTGGTACGGATAATAAGTACTTTGTCATTATCTATTAGTTAAATAACTTATATTTATGATAATGATAATCCTTTTGATAATAGTGATATAAATGAATATATAAAAAATAATAAAAAAAATATAGTTAATAAAACTAGTTTTAATTTATATGACATACATAGATTTGTTTGTTTTAAGTTTATTAATTATTAATTAATAAAAAGTTACTTAAATTATATATGAATTTTTATTTTAATAATATATTTTAAAATGCTTGAAATATGCATGAAAAAATTTTTCTTATGATTTCATTATCTGTTTTTATAATTGGAGTTTATTTTATATTTTTTATTCCATATTAAAAATATATTTTCAATAATTTTAATTACTACCACACTTTCAAACACTCTTTAAAAAAAAAACTAATCAATTAATTATCTCTTGACTGCACTAAAACTCTCTTATAGATATTGATCTTAATATTGTAAAGTTTTAACAATATTAAAACTATTACAAATTCTAAATTCTACGAACCACAAGCTCCTAATTAATATTGAACTCTAACACTCGCCCTCAATATCAGTTGACATCATGTTTTCTTTTCTTTCTCTTAATTTTTTTTTTGACATTGAAAAAAGTAATTTCATCATTTTGCTCAACATCAATTCTTCCAAACTATGTTGTCTTTCCGCACCTTAACTAGATTCGTAGCTTTTCCAACTGAAAATGACTTGCAAGCTTGCAAGACTTTAATTTCTTGTATCTTACATCTAATGTTATCAACAGAAGCCTTTAGTCCTGCTCTTTAACAATAATGGCACCTTACAAATCTAAAATCTTTCTCTTGAAGCTTTTAACCTTAACATTATTAACCATTAAATTCTCATTAAACTTCTCTTAACTTGAACACTTTTTTGCGTAGCATCTTCTTCCTTCTTAAGAAATGAAGCATTGGATCCACATAGTAGAGGAAAGTCTCCAACAACAAAAACTCTTCTCTTAAAAAGATTACTCTTCTGAACAAAATTTTCAACTGGAACAACAAAATTCATCTTTGAAGATGATTGTTTTGGCTTTGCATCCAACTTCTTCTTTTTTTGTATATTTTTTGAACAATTCTTAATAGACACTGGAGATACGGTATTATCTTCTTCATTCGAATCAAACTCATTACTACTTTATTTTATCTAACTTTGTGAGACGACTTCATTACATACAAGAGGCTTTGTGATAGATGTTGCAGACTCCTCAAGCTCACACAGTAAGTCATCAAAATCAATAAGTTTTTATTTATCTTATTCATGGACTTTGTCTTTGTATTGAAGCAAAAAACCTTTTGAATTTTGAACCTATAATGAAACCCCTCTTCCCGAGGGTCAATAAAAAAAATAATTATGTTTATTGATTTGGCTCCCTATCATAATCAAGATAACGATCACAATCTTGTTCATGGTCACAATCCTAACATATTTTACCATAATATGGACCAAACAAGATATAATGACATGTTGATGTTAATTGTGTTACAAACAATAAATCTTTCTTCAGGTCCTGGAACATGATAAACATCTTGAAGATATGCACATCAGAGTTATAGCAAGGTGTCGTTGTCGTCTTATCAACATGAGTTGTTTTTGAGAGGTCTGTCAAAGACACTACTGCTTCGTGAGAGCCTTGTTTTTTTCCTCCACAGCAGCTATTATTAGACTCACAAATCCTACACTTTCATCTTTATCCAACTAAGAAGAGAAGTAAAGGAATGCTTGGCAAATCATCAAAGCTTATACAGATCAGGGCATCTCATGACGAAAATCATGTTTTACATTTCCAAAATAAACTATACCTCAACCGTATAGGGAAATGGATGACAGGCATGTCATGTAGTCATACTTCACCCCTGCCATCACGATCACGTTCAAAATTCAGAAATTGAGTTACAAATTCCCTATCATATTGAACTTGAGTTTCACTTTCAAGGCCAAACATTCTGCAGTGAAAACAACTTCAAAATTAACAAATTCATGAAAAAAATGTATTTTATTAGATGTTTCGGCATGGAAAGAGAGGCATACTAAAAAAAAAAAAGCTCGCTACTCCAATAATATTTTCAAAAGGTAAAGAGTGTTACAACAAAATTAGAAAAGAGAAGGACCGGTCTCCTTTATTATACAAGTCCTTAAGGCCAAGCCAGTTGGTCTACACAAAACCTAGGCTCCTGCACTTGATCTTCAATCCCTGACTCATACTTGTTGCTATCCTTTGGCAATGGTTTCTGATTAGTAGTAGAAGACATAGCAGCAACACAAGAAGTGGTAAAGGAAGAAGAAGCTAACGATGACACAAAAGCCAGGTTTGTGTTTTGAGGACGAACAAGTTGTGACAACAAAAGCACAAGAGAAGCCATGGATCACTAAGCAAAGATTTTTCTTTTTAGTAAGGAAACGAATTCTGGGAATGAAGGTTTCACGGGTTTGTCACGTATTTTATACAACGATGAAACAACGGAGCCCCCTGGTTTTGGCCAGTCGTAACAGGCATGTCTCTGTTTTAAAAACCGGGTATGGTTTCTGCGGACGGTTTTGCTTTTTTCCTCCCCTCGAGGCTTTGAACAATGGGTCGGTTTCCAGCAAACCACAGAAGAAGTTTCTAAAATGTCCAAAACCATGGGCCTCCTAGTCCTCTGGTAGTTGCTGTTTTGGTGTTACGCATCATTACTTGTGTCAGGTTCACTTCCACAGGTTCAGGGTCGAGCTGACACATAAGGCAATCTGCTTGGCCCAATGGTGGCCTTCGATTCGGGCACCAACGATGAAGTTTTAAGGAAAAATGGGTCTGACCTTTATTGTTGCTCATGCGACTTCTGCTCCTTGCAGTCCATCGTTAATATCGTGCTGAAAAATATGATTATAATAGTTGTTTTAAAAATATTTTTATTAAAATAATAATTTTTTATTTTTTATAAATTATTTTTAATATTATTGTATTAAAATTATTTAAAAATAATATAAATCTTAATTTAAAATAATAAATAAATCTTAATTTTTTTAAAAAACATTTTTTAAATACAAAAATAAACAGAACTAATTTATGGTTGAGTTGTTATCCATAATTATATTTAATTTAATTTTTTATATTTTATGAATTATAAACCTAACTTGTTTAAAAAAATTTGAATAATACAAACTAATTAAATATATAAAGTTGAGCTAAAAGTTTTTATAAATATTACAAATATTCACGAGTTAATATTCACAA